GTGAAGCCTAGGTCACGCCTAGCCTAAGTTATGTTAGCCGATGTTATGCCAAGCCTAGGTTATGTTAAGCCTAGATCATTCCAAGCCGAGGTCATCTTCAGTCTAGAAGTACCTTGGAACCCCTTCGCTTGACCTCCACCTTTGCCTTGACATATTGGCCGAGATGTCATTATCTAGGTCGAGGTGTGAATCACCAAGGCCGAGATGTGTATTATCTAGGCCGAGATGTTACCTTTACACCTGAGCGATCTGGTCCTGGAGTGGTATGACCTAGACCGAGATGTGGCACATCTAGGCCAAGGTGTGGCACAGCTTAGTCAAGTGTTGTCCTTCCTAGCCGAGGTCATTGTCACCTTAGTTGCCGAAGCTTTGTCCTTAGCCGATGTCACCACTTGCCGGAGTGCCATACCGAGTAGCTTGTTAGATACGCTTTGTCATTGCCTTGTCTTGTCAATCTATCACCTTTTCGAAGAGAACTAATCGGCTGCTGCCACGTGTCCGAAGCTGAGAGTTAAGTCAGCCGGCAGAGAGAGAAACCCATCATTTGTTCCTATACTTGTTTTGAAGAGTAGAGAGAGAAGCTCTAGAAGAGGGAGAGGAGTTCTAGAGAGGAGATAGATTTCCAAGCTTGATTTTTAGAGATCGAACCGTTAGATCCGTGTTCCAAGGTCAGATTCTTGATCTGCTCATGTTGTTCGTTATGTTTATGTTATTGCATTGCATGATTGAATACGATTTGTAAGCCATGCATTGCTTTGAAGTTCGATTTTAGAAAGAGAAAATAGCATTCATGTGTTCTTCAAGAAAAGTCACGTTTTGATCCGAAAGTTCATGCCTAGATCCATGATTTTGTGTTTGTTTTCACATGATTTTCAAGTATGGGTACCCAGGTCCATGTTTTCAAACTCATAGCATGAAATCTCAGATTTTGTAAATAAAGAAGTTATGATTTTAGCATCCATGTTCTTCATGTTCTACATGATCATGTTCTTCCTGTTCTCCACAGGTGGAAGCCCAGATCTCCAGACCTCACTTCCCGAAGTGTAGTCGCCGAGATCACTCTTACCTAGATCTCACACTTAGGCCAAGCATCGTATCTCACCTTGGCCTACCTTGCATGGTCACTTACACCTTTAGGTCGCCTTATGCGCACCTCGGCATGCAGCCGCATGCCAAAGCCTAGGTAGCCACATCTTGGCCAGACATGCAAGGACCTGGTTGGTACCCAGCATGTCTTCCTGACATGTAAAACAGTGTTTTGACTTCTTGCATGTTTTCCCGAGATCATTTGCATGCATGTTAGACTTGTTTTGAAATGTATGTTCAGTGGATTTTGCCATGTGTTTGTAGGACTTGAACCTTTGTCTTGACCCCGACGTCCCAAGAACTAAGTGAGTGGTATTTTTAATAAAGTTATGTTCTTAAGGTTTTGATAAAGCTTTGCCTCGTTTTGATAAAAGTGTTTGTTAAGCATGAATGATATCCCTATTTTATGTGTCAAGTATAAGCTTCGTTTTGAATGGCAATGTATCAAGTAAGCTTTGTTTTGACGACATTCTCGGAAAGTCCCTTGTGCTGGAGGACTCTAAACTTGTGCAGTATCATCGTGTTAAAGCGGGCTACGGGCCTAAGTAACACAAGTTCCATCATGTTAAAGTGGGCTACGGGCCTAAGTAACACAAGTTCCCTCGTGTTAAAGCGAGCTACGAGCCTAAGTAACACAAGTTCCCTCGTGTTAAAGCGGGCTACGGGCCTAAGTAACACAAGTTCCATCGTGTTAAAGCGGGCTACGGGCCTAAGTAACACAAGTTCCATCGTGTTAAAGCGGGCTACGGGCCTAAGTAACACAAGATCCCTCGTGTTAAAGCGGGCTACGGGCCTAAGTAACACAAGTTTCATCGTGTTAAAGCGGGCTACGGGCCTAAGTAACATGTATTTTGTACTTTATCTTATTTGTTTTCAAGTTTTAAAGCTATGTAAAGATGTATGCCATTTCATTTGACTTATGCACTGCTCTTATGGACCACTTGTATTTTAGATTATTGCTTCCGCATTTGTGAGTCCCCTATAGCTATACTCTGATTGTGTGTGAATTTTGAAAGTTGGCCTTCGGTAATCCCAGATTACTGCCATCACGGCACCAAAACTCTAGGGGCGATTTGGAGTCGTGACAGTAGACCTAAGTTTTGCATTTGGGTCCGTAGAGAAATCCCCAAAGTCAAACAGATAGCCCCCCCATCAACATGCTAACATTGGCCGAGAAGATGATGCCAGATTTATCGAAATTCCAAGACTTGTTCCGATGCCACACTGTAGATTCTCATAATTTCCAATAAAGATTGGCATTCTTGTTGCTCGCCCTAAAGAAAAAGAATAACATCATCTGTGAAGAAGAGATGCGATAAAAGGACAAGTTCTCTTCAGTCTGATGCCTGAATATCTCTCCTGTGAAGGCTTCAAAGCAATAATTTGGCACAAGACATCAGTTACAAGAAGAAAGAGGCATGGAGAGAGAGGGTCGCCTTGGCGAGGACCACAAGCAGGAGATACAGATGCCGTTTGGCCCCATTCGCGAAAATTGAGAATTGAACTATAGTGACACATTCATTACCCAGCTTAACCCACTGAACCAACGCCTATCAAACCCCAACTTATGAAGGATACTTCCAAGAAATCCTACTGGATTCTAATATATGCTCTTGTTAAAGTCAAGTTTAAGGCAATATCCACCTCTTCTCCGCTATCCCGTTATGCTTGAGGAATGGAGAGCTTCATGGGCCACTAAATATTGTCCGGATCATCCGTCCGACACAAATGCTGATTGATTAGGGGTGATAAGACTGTGAAGACCGCCTTTCAAACGGTTAGCCAGCACTTTGGTGATGATTTTTCATGGAAAAGTTACCAACAACTTATGGGCCGGTATGTGTGTTTTTTCTGGGGTAGCCACCTTGGGAATGAGCACTAGATTTTGGTATGATTCATTCTTAGAGTAGAAACCCTCCGTTGAAAAGCCTTTAAACACTGCTGCACAGACATCATTCCGGACCACGTCCTAATGCTTATGATAGAAGAGCCCAGGAAAGCCATCGGGTCCTGGGGCTTTTAAGCCCAAGCTGGAAGGTTGCCTTAACTCATCATCAGTCACTGTTTCTGTGAGCGCTTTATTTCATATCCCCGTAACTGCAGTGTAACCTCGCAGGGCGTCACGCAATCCCTACTACGGTAAAGCTTGATAGAGATTTTGGAAGTAGTCTTGTAA